TACTAATTACTGATGGAGGGGATTTATAGTATTAAGGCCAATTGGCCACGACTAGCAAGGAACTAGGAAAATATACAATATTATGCTTGTCTTAAGAAAACACTGTCGTTAATTCCTGTTAAATTCGCCAAGATGGGTTAACTGGCCTGAATTTATGCTTATCCAATCCTTCTCCATTAATGTGGAAAGCAGGTGAAAATTTTCGTTAAATATCATTATATAATATACCTACTTGTTGTATAAAACTATTCTATTTTATACATTGAACACATATTAAGACAGTAGGTATAGTTTTTACATAATTACATTCCAATCTACCTATGACGCACCATGAATATCACAGAAATTACGTATATGTACACAACCGACAAATTACGTAGATACTGAGTTTCGTAGCAAATTGACCATAATACCTACTCATACTACCATAACTGTTTAGAGACATTTTGTGTCGCAGTTTTACAATTTTTTTCAGAAATAGTACAACATTCAAAATCTTATAACTACCTATATTTTAATGCGTAAGATAGAATTCAGACAGAATTATAATAGGTATACTTTCTCACTGATATAATATATTCAAAAATGGGTTTCACTGTATGTTTGTCTCTTTATTACATTTTCTTTATATTTTCCACATCAAATTTCACGACGATGGACTTGTTTGACTCGTAGTCTGCCGGTTTTGTAGTTATAGCTGTCCCGGTAAACATTGTTTTGCCATATAAATTAATAACGCTATAAAAAAAATAGGGGTTGGTGATAGAAGGGTGAAAATTTAGGGTTGTATGTGTTTTTTAATGACACATAATAAAAAAATATAAATAAAAATTTTTGCCCAAAAAACAAAAAATAACGTTAGGGGTGGACAAACCTTATCACTTAGGGGTAAGAAAAATAGATAGTAGCCGATTCTCAGAACTACTGAATATGCATATAAAATTTCATAAAAATCGGTCTAACCGTTTCAGAGGAGTATGGTGGTAATATATAACATTCTAATGAGAATTTTATATTTTTTTTATTTATGTACGATGATATACGTGATTTTGTCTGATTTTTTTAGATAAAGGTTAGCAATGACTTAAAATAAACCAAAAAATTTGATTTTTTGTTTTTTTGGTTGTTTCATCATTTGTACCACCTCATTTGAACAGATGGATGAATTTGAATGTATGAAATATACTTATAGAACAAATTATTAAAAAAGAATTTATTTGATAAGAAGAACCTAAAGAGGTAAAGCTAGCTATAAATAAATTCATAAGTTAACAAATATCCTATCATTTAATAATAATAATAGGAATAAGTACCTTCAGTGAAGTTCTTTCATGACTGTTACTCCAGATGTCATAGCCAGAGACGAAATATAATACTGTTATCGTAGGGAATTCGTAACACTTGATGTACCTACCATTTTCTTGGGTATAATTGATTTGAATATAATATAGCAGAGATCAAGACTCCCGTCGACTTTTGAAATTGTAATCGTTGCTTTTACCAGCACAAAGTTAGTCTAGGCTAGTCACAAAGTTATCAGTTAGTATTTCTGATTGACAGAAATACTAACTGAAACTCAAAGTTTCTTAGTTAAAACAGATTACTCTGAAATTTCGATGTCTATAAAGATCACCTTCACTAATCTCTATAGTGAAGGTTCTCTAATTCTAAAACTACATTACCGCCATTACAATAACTAGGTACATGCACTTATATAATACACCACAACAGCTGTTGTTGAATCTCTATAGTCCTGTTTCAAAGAATTTGATAATAGAGGTCAAAGCAGGTGTTATTCCATATTAAATAATAAGATAAAGAAATATAGCATGTAGGTACATATGAAAACAATGCCATATATATATATATAGTTAATGCTTATGCAATTCCGTAAGTTTATCCGTACTACCAATATGTTATTTTTGTTTTGAATTGGAGTGTAGTATAAAAATTAGCATTATGGCTAAAGTATAGTATTTCACTTAGAATTTTGACAAATGTTAACGTGTCCATATACATGGAATAATTACTATCTGGAAGTTAATATGTTAGATTTACCTACACACGGTCCCCCCTAGAAACCCTCGCGGTTAATTCTTGGTAAATTTGTCACGATGGGCTGTCTGACCTAAGTTCATACTCAGAAAAAGTATGAAATTATCATCCATCACTGGTACCCCGCTAGCGTAGGTGCCTGCACCATTCCATTGTTAGCCATTAAAAACCTACTTGGTACTTCTCGTCCGTTGCTAATTCTTAGGATCAAATGATTATGCCTCTGTGCTCTCGAATTTCATTGCCATATCGCACCATTAAACCCGGAACAAACTTTGGAAAACAAAATGCCGGCAACAGATATAATTTCTTGGAATATAATTTGGATAAGCGGATAGGTACCTATATGTCTGACAATTCCAATGTCATGCTCTTGGACCAGTTATCTCTGTATATTCTCACTGTATACAACTTACACACATTACCGGATCAAACTCATTCGGAGTCTACCTTTATTAAGTGGAATACGTGGCCGTGGCTAACATTTTAAACACCCGAAAATAATTTTAATTTTAGTGAATTTTTTTATGTCTCAAGAAATGTTTGTTGCTGTTATATGAAATCACATTGAATTAAAAAATATTTTTAATACATTATCAATATTGAAATAGGTAAGTGAAAAAAAATCAGTCTAATTTTTCTATAAGAAAGAAAGAAAGAAGAAGAATAAAGACATCACATCTCTCTATATACCTAAGTCTCACTTATTTCACCCGCCGAGTAGGCTTACTTTGAAAGCTGTGTTTGGAAATTACTTATTGGCATGGCATATTAGCTCTGAAATGGCAACGCATGAATGTGTTGCAAGATAACGTACGGTATAAGACGACGACGACGACGACACCGCTTACCATCAGGTGGACATTGTTTGCCATTCCTGTACATAAAAATAGTTTAAACTGAAGAATTTGCATGTGAATAATCTAATAATAATAGACAGCTGTCATAGCACAAGAAGAAGAAGAAGAACAAGCAAGAAACTTGCCTGTTGCTCTTTTAAACACATGTTGTAGCTTTACTTTTTTAAATTAAAATACTACCACCAAATAGCGTGAATTCATTAGAGTCAAAATATTAAATATTGTTTAAATATTGTAAATATATCCTTGTGATCATACTTTAAATAACTTATCATGTCATCTCATTGTACAAGTAATATATATATATATTATTTAGATTAATTTAAATATTATTATTATATTCATATGCATAAAACTATAATATATTAATAATACGTAGATGGTAAATAAAGTAAATATTTAAACGTGTATAGGTTTACAAATAACAGGTTGTACACGCGATATATATATATATATATATATATATATATATATACATATAGCCGTTTACTGTCAATAGTGGAAAATTAAAAAATATACTGACAGAAATACAGCCACAATACGAAATATGGGTAGTTCCGTTCCAACGACGTTAGTAATGGGGATTAGTGATCCCGTCGCGTCGTTAGTAAGGTACTCTATTAGATGGAACTCCACGCCTCCCTTGGAGAGCATTGTGTTCAATTCTGGTGTATTAGTCACATTGGGCCCAATTAACGGCGGGGTACCAGTGGAGTATGGTAACCTGACTTCATCAGCATACCATACTCCACTGGTACCTCGCCAGCTTAAACAGTTAGCGCAGGTGGATTTACCATTCTATCATTACTCCAAAAAAATATGAATACCTGTAGACGATATGACGTTTTATTTTATCTCTTGTTTAATATTGAATAACACTTACACACAGAAGCAACGTCGTAGGTACATAGTCAAGATTTTTCAACAACAACTTGCGTTTCATTTATTCAGTACTAGTTTCTATACCTACTATAAATGAGCACCTTCGCTGAGTTTTATCAGCATGTTCTATAAAGATTGATCTATTACAATATTGTTGCTAACTAATATTGTACTGGTAGATTGATTACATGGTTGGTTGTCAACATTGCCGTTTAAAATGAGTTCTTAGTATCCATCGAAAACGGCACAACTTGTAAGTTAGCAAAACTGCACTTGACTTACGAGTTTACCGTACGTAATACACAGTTACTTGCCGTCAAATTGTCTCGATAACTTAGTGTTATTATCCTGATACCTAAGTGTTTCAGTTAACAAGCAGTATGACACCCGCTAGAAATTTGTATTGTGGGTCAGGTCTGGAAGCCAGTACTTTTTATTTTTAATAGGTTGTTTTTTAGCTTTGCATATCTAACCATTGATATCTGGAACAGTCCCCCAAACACCGCGGTATAATCATCTTTTTTAGGTGTATGTATATATAATAGTATATTACAAACTAAATTTAAAAAATAATTAATGATTGTTTGCTATGTACTTTGAATTATAATTATTAATATATGTAATGAAATGTAATTAATTAATTACCATTTCTTATATATCAACTTAAAAGGTTGGTTTACAGCAGATGCTATTTATGTACTACCTTTTTTTTTTTACTTGGAGAATATCCCTCATGGAGACCCGCCGGCCCCGGGGGAAGCCCGCGGGTACTGTGAGACCCCTACTTACTAAAAACTCCAAGGTATCCCGACAAAGCGTCTATAGCCGGAGTCGCGGGATAGAATGTCAGTCCACCGCAACTCCGGCGGCATTTATGTACTACCTAACCTCTCTGAGAAAATAATCACTACGTTATTATTAACCTCTCAGTGTATATATTTTTATTTTTGATTTAATATAAGTTCTCTAAATTAAATCAAAAATAAAAATATATACACTGATACTTCGCATAAAAATTTGAAATTTAGCGGGAATGTGTCTAACTATTTAAACGTCACTTTTTCAGGTTGACAAAACCAAAACAAAAAATTCAACCAATAGCAAACGCTTGATTGATTACTGCGTTATCCAAGTAGGGCTCATGATTGGTTAATATTTGCAGAACTGTAGCGCCTCCCCGTCCTTATAAATATCGGCGCGAACGCGCACTAGACCTCTTTTCCACAGTGTTAGTTGAGGGGTATTTTGTCGGGTTATTTTAGTGAGCTAACTCTAAATTCAGAATGCCGGAGACATCAAAAATGAATGGATTTGCGAAAACAAATGGACACAGTTTTGACATGGAAGATGGATCAGTGTTTTTATTCACATCAGAGTCTGTCGGCGAGGGCCATCCAGGTTAGTATCTAAGTTTTAAATGTTACAGGAATCATGCAATACGAAAAATGGCCGCTTTAAACATGTGCGTAAATAATTTGATGCCGATACTTGAAATTTTCTGTGGTATTGAACATTATATTGGAATTATAAAGTCGGTGATTTATTTTGTTTATATAGATATGACCACATCAATACAATCGAAATGTTTTGTTACATCACTTCGACATCCAATTTCAACTACAATTCAAAATAATCACAACACGTGGTCCGAGTCAAATATGATGAAATAATGAACACTTGTTTCGTTTTGTTTATTTTCACGTGTAACAATAACTAACCTGCGTTTTATCTATTCCAGATAAAATGTGTGATCAAATAAGTGACGCTATCCTTGACGCACATTTGTTACAAGACCCTGATGCAAAAGTAGCATGTGGTGAGTAATTTCATTTTTTGTGATCCGTATATCATCAATACATCTAATGCTTCTTGAAACTAATAGTTAACATTTTCAACAGAAACCGTAACAAAAACCGGAATGATCTTATTGTGCGGTGAAATCACATCGAAAGCTAATATTGATTATCAGAAGGTTGTAAGGGACACAGTGAAGCACATTGGTTATGATGATTCCTCTAAAGGTAAGATAACTGCCTTACTGATTCGAACCAATCATTACAATAATAAAATTATTATTGTAATACCAAATGGTATGTTGTGATTTCTATAACATCCATAGTGATAATAGACAAATATTATTTCATATACACTAGGTTTTGATTGGCGAACACTAAACTTATTATTGGCAATTGAAGAACAAAGTCCCAACATAGCAGATGGTGTGTACACATCTCGAGAGGAAATAGATGTAGGGGCAGGAGACCAGGTATAAATCAAAATAGCCTGCACGATGCAAGCATACTGGGTTTTGTATTCAAATTGAAATGAAAATGGACATTAATTGCATGGTCACAAGATATGGGAGTGTGACATTTTTGTTTCCTTTCACTTAATTTCATAGTGCCAAACTGCACAGGTGGACAAAGTAACAAGAATTGGCCCTGGTTTTCATATGTTTTTCTTTAAAAAACTAACTGCATTATCTATCAAATCTAATATAATATTACTAGTCTTTCACATAATAATGTCATTGTCTTACTATCATTTGCTAATGAGCATGTTGGGGCTAGGGTTCGATTACAAGACTTGCAGTGTTATGCTTGCGCTGGACCAGCAGTCTCCGAACATAGCTGCTGGAGTGCATGAGAACAGAAATGATGAGGAAGTTGGTGCTGGAGACCAGGTATGTTTTTTGATTTAAGTAATTGTTTATTAATATATATATATAGATTTAATTTCTATTGAATATCTATTTTCCATGACATTACAGTATTTAATACAGTATATTAGTAATGTTTCCATTGGAAACAAACCAAAGTAGGTGACCAAAACAAAATAAATGTGTAAAAGAAGGAAAACTTCATCAATCATTATAAGGAGAGACCTGTGTCTGCAATTGGATATTAGTAGTTATATGGTATATAGTATTGTGATCTTAATAATTACAAATATTTATGTCCTTGATATAAATATATTATATATATATATATTATAAATTCTATGATAAACTTATTGAAGATGAATTTGTGTGGGTGAAAATGTGAGCATGTAAAGTGTTACATTATAACACTTTACATGCTCACATTTCAGCTGGAAACCAATCTCAAATGAATTCTTATTTAGTGCATTTATCATTCATTGAAGTTTAGATTTTTGGACTTATAAAGAATCCTATATTTTTGTTATTCTATATATATTTGTTATTATATCTGATTTTATTTTATTTTTTCTTCAGGGCTTAATGTTTGGGTATGCAACAGATGAAACAGAAGAATGCATGCCACTTACTGTGGTACTGGCCCACAGACTAAATCAAAAAATTGCAGAACTCAGGCGAAATGGAGAATTTTGGTGGGCTCGCCCTGATTCAAAGACTCAGGTTAGATATATTTTTTTATTATATTAAACAATTTATTTCATATTACAATATTTATTTAAATATATAATATATATGTTGGAAATACTCTAATGGTGCATACTAAAGAATAAAAGAGATGGCCTAAAGAATGGTCATGTTAAAAAAAATTACATTGTGAAAATATATGAAATATGTTTCATAAACTTTTTATAAGTGACATTGAACATCAAAATGGGTTAGTATGCAAAGTATCATATGATGTAAATTCACACACATTAGTTTTATTAATGGGCATATATGAATGGATTTAAATCAAGTTTTTTATTTTTTGTAATGAATAATTGTGCCTCAAGTATTTCATCTTATCAGGAATGTCATTTACCCCGTTCTTTTTATTCAATTAGATAACTTTTGTAACATTTGAACTATGGAAGTGTGTTCAAAGTTTTATCTGATCCTGTTAGGTACAATCTATATTTAAAAACATAAATTCATGTGTTAATCTAGTTCTTAGACCGTTAACATCGTGGGAAATAAAGTAAATTAGTGTCTCGTACAGTTCGTACGTCCGCGATCACAATAGGACCGCAGGAAAAAGAAAATTAGTCATTTATTTGTACACCACCATAAAAATAGTACATTTTATATCTTTATAACCATTTGACTAGTATTAGACCAGTAACTTAGAGGTTTCAATTTACAAACCTTGCACTTGCAGTATATGCATATGAGGTACAATTATTGCTTGAGATTAAAATTACGCACGTAAGGAATGAAAGGAAATATGCTCATATTACCATTGTGTAATCACATTATTGTTTTGAAACCATAAACTGCTGTTATGCGAATTTGACACCAGCGCTATTCATATACTGCTGATATGAGATTACTCGGTCACCGGAGGAGCACACATGGGATTACTAATAATTATTATAATAACATTTGTAATCCAAATTATGATAGATATCGTAAACCGACTTAAAAAAACTATATCGTCTTTATTTTTTACTAGCCGGGTCCCGCGATTTGGACTGCGTGGATTTTTGTTTTATTTTTCTAAAATAAAAGTAGCCTAAGTTACTCCTTATTACATCAGCTACCTGCCAAAAAAAGTCCCGTCAAAATCGGTTCAGAGATTAGCCGGAACAAACAGATAGACAGACAAAAATTATAAAAAATGTTATTTTGGTATATGTACCATATATATATTCATAATCATGTAGTAAAAAAAAGGTTATTTCAATATTACAAACAGACACTCCAATTTTATATATTATCTATGTATATATATGATAGATGATCATTATAGGTTCTATAATTGTGATTTAGTCAATTAATTTCGTGCCATGTTCAAAAATAAAATATTGTTTACAATACAACACAGCGTTCATACAATAAAATTATAAAGACAATAGTTTGTTTTCTTTTCGATAGCTTTTCACAGCTAAATGACTGAATTGAATTTTAGAGATAGATTAGATTGTATTACGAGGAGGGCATGGTGTCTTTTATTTTAAAAAAATATATTCTGTAAGGCGATGAAAGTTAAGCAGACGAAGTAGCGTGTATTACATACAGCTAGTATATCGAAATGTTTCATTTCCCAGGTTACATGCGAATATGTATTTGCGGAAGGCGCAACAGTCCCACAGCGGGTTCATACAGTAGTTGTATCGCTCCAACATTCTGAGAAGGTAATTTATTATTCAATTTTTGACCTTGAGAATATGTAATTCCCGTAGTGATTCATATGTGGAAATTCAACAACGCAAATGATGTCATGTGGTGTATGAGAATTAATACCTAATGTAATAGTGGTTAACTTTTAGTCAATGATGGTGCATTGACCAAAAGATGAGTTAACTGGCCTAATGGCAACTTCGTCCTCATCCTGTTATCATATACTGGTGCCCAAAATATACGAACGCTGCCGGTGGGATAACCATTTCATCATCATCCATATAAAATAAAAATAAAAAAAAAAACATGAAAATGCTTAGTTAATAAAAATTTAAAGAATATATGATTTAATTATTTGATTACGATAAATGTAATGTCTAACAAATCAATTTTGATAATTGATATTTTTTTATTTTGAACCAACACAAATCATGTTGTATTTATATAAGAATGAAAAAATATATATATAAAAAAGTAAACGCATAAAATTTAAGGTCTCCGCAAAGAGTATCACAGAGTTATTTTTGTGGTATTTAAATATGATAAAGGTAATATCTGGCTTTCTGAAGTCTTTATTTTAATACTATAATTCAACAAGATTCATGTTATAACAAGACATTCCAACATGAATCATGTTAGTTTCATATATGAATGCGCGAGAAACCTTATCAGCGTCATTTCCCGAACTAATAAGAATGTGTAAAATTTACTTACAAAGTTTTAGACCAGGGCAGGGTTATCATAGAACTTCAAATATTGTGAGTCATTGTGGTAAACCACTACACGATGATGCTCCTAAAAATGATGTAATTTATATTTTAAATAATTATAATAATGAGTATAGGTAGTTTATATTATTTCTAGTTTTATGAACATAAACATATATTATAAAATATATTTTCCTTATTGTTTTAGGAATTGTAGTAGTTTTTGGTGCTATGTGACCTGCTTGTTGTGTACAAAATCCTGATCTATTCTGTATTTTTTCAGATCACACTTGAGACACTGCGTGAAGAGATCAAAGAAAAAGTAATCAAGGATGTAATTCCAGCCCAATACCTTGATGACAGAACCATAGTGCACATCAACCCATGCGGCGTCTTCATCATCGGTGGTCCACAGGTGAAATAATACTAATCTTTTAATTTTTGAACATAGGACTATTGATGTTAATTATTTAATTTTATGCAAGATTGTTACAAAAAGGCATATTGTCTTTCATGGGAATTATGAAAATTATACGCATTATTAATTATGCCTAGAAACCCTTATCGGCCTCTTTAATGTGACTGCTCTCGATTTTTGACGTGAGTGTAAGCTATGCGAAACTAATAAGTTAATTAGTCATATTTACATTGTTGGATACCTACAATACGTTATCTCAATAAGGCCACCCATCGTCATACAAAAACTAAATACACAATCGGAATCGAAGGTGAATGTAGAAAGCAGAAATGCACTAAATTATAATTTGTAGATTGATGACAACAGTATAGTTTTGTAACAAATATATTATATATACAGTATAATAGTTATCTGCAATGTTTTTGGCATACAATTATCTGTTAAGACTGGAGTGGCTGCATTATATAATATATACCTATAATTTATTTCTTGATTTTTTCATATTCTAAAATAATAAGCCTGGACTAGCTAAGCACACCTTGTGTTGTTGATAGATAATTGATAGAAATACTTAATTTTTACTTTTAATTGAGCCGCTAGGTCAATTTTTCCTAAAAGAAAAAGAAACATTAGATATTATTCAATTAGGGGATATTTGAATAAATAGTAACAGATTTTTAAATAAATTTTTAGTAGCATGTTTTGGAAAAAGAAATCAGGTATTATCAACTTATAATATTTCTTTTATAGTCTGACGCTGGGTTGACGGGTCGTAAAATCATAGTAGACACATATGGTGGCTGGGGTGCTCACGGTGGCGGCGCTTTCTCTGGCAAAGATTTCACCAAAGTGGATAGATCCGCTGCCTACGCCGCTCGTTGGGTCGCCAAGTCACTCGTTAAAGCTGGTCTCTGCAAACGCTGCATGGTGCAGGTATTTGTTACACATATCCTTTGAATTCCTTAGGTACTTAATTGTTTTGATTTTACCATAGTATTTTTTAAATTATCAATTAAATAATGACCAGTGCATCTCATATGGGCTGCAAATCCTAAGATATCTTTAAAACAAACGACATGGTTCTAGGAGCTATCTTCTGCTCGCGAGATGGTATCTTTCAACTAATACCAAGCTGATGGAAAGTTTCAAAAATTATATTTGGTTCTATACTTAGTTTGTGTAAAGCGATTTGGTTCTTATTTGTCACCCCACTCCAATTTAATATCACAAAAATATTTGACAACCTAGCGTGAAAATGAGAAAACCCAATCTAGATAAAATAATGAATTTTTAATTGTAACAGTATTTATTGCTGACTATGTATATTATTATCATTGTTAAAATTGTATTTTTTTTTATTTAAGGTTGCATATGCAATTGGAGTTGCAGAGCCCTTATCCATCACTGTCTTCGACTATGGCACATCACATAAGACTCAACAGGAGTTGCTTGCCATTGTTTTGAAGAACTTTGACCTTCGACCGGGTAAAATCGTGAAGTAAGTTCAAATGTCTTAAAATTACTTTAATTACTGTATAATTATATTGTCATAATAGATGTAATAACCACAGATAAGGTCATATTATATACTAATTCAACAGTTGCTTATTAGTACTGAACTGTTTTCCCAAAGTATGTATATATGAAGGACTTAAATTTAAAAAAATACAACTATATGTAATTATATAAATTAGATGTATTTTACAAATTGAATTCTTTTATGAAATTTCAAAAAAATATAGATAAAAATGAATTCAAAATTACTATTTTTTTTTATTAATTGCAATACGAAAACGTGCGTCGATTAAAGAAAAGGCGTGATATATTTGACCAAGATAGTCAGACAGGACTGACTTTAAGAATGGGGAGCTGCTCCACAGGGACTCTACCTGTTATATACGGAACACCACATATTCTTATAGTCCACGTGACTGATTGCAAGATATATATAATAGGAAAAAAAATTGCAATATATTAAAGTATTTAACTATTTTTACATTATGATAGTTATATGTATTGTTAATAGATAAATAATATAGAGTTTAAAATTAAACTGTCTGTGGAAATGAACATGATCTGTGATTATATTTTTAGTCTTGCATTTCATTTTTAAATATAATGCCATAATAACATGAGCATGACACCCATGTTTTTGTTTTTCAGGGAACTTAACCTCAGAGCACCTATATATCAGAAAACAAGTACATACGGGCACTTTGGTCGTGAAGGATTTCCATGGGAGAATCCCAAACCGCTCGTCGTAGAATGACTTCGGACGTAAGTCCTTCAGCATTGTAAATATTCCATCAGTATATTGTACACTTAATCTACGTGTGTCTTTGTAGTGAGGGCGCGAAGATTTTACGCTGTCTCTCTATAGGCATTAATGTTTATGTAATATGCATTATACATCTCTTGAATGGAACCATCACTTCAAGGCATTTGTCTTATGGTTTCACTTTAGAGATATACCGTAAATTAAGTATTCCTTTAGATTGGATATAGGCTTAAAACAGTGCCGCCATTTCTGAATTTGAGTTAGTTCCGGGGTTTTAATGGGCAGTTCCATTGTTTCGTCCTATATTTTGTGATTCCTACAGTGCCTATTATTTTATAATTAAGTTAGTTATTATGCAGTGGATGCCATGAACTACCCAGTTAGTCTGATTTTTTAGACACTTTTTATATGATCTTTAATAATGGACTGCCTCCAATCTCGAATCTTTTACACTGTGAATTTTATATTATAAGTGCTAGTTTTTGGTAGAGTAGACTACTTTCCTGATCGCGTCACAGTGTAGCTAGTATCAGGAAGACATGAGTCTTCCTCTTCCTGGCTCACTGCAAACATTGTACTGCTTGGTGTGGCGTATTTAATATATTATTTTACTGGCTTATATTGATATTTTAAAAATTGTTGCTTTGAATATATATGGTATATAATGAAGTATGCTTTTATCCTTTTTACGTCACAACTTGTTCAGTATAGTTTGTGTTGTGTTTCCGAAAAGGAACATAGTGGAAAAGAGCCATTTTGAAAACACACCGATTCGTTCAGGGCAGTAGTGCACTGTGCATTTACTCCAGGTATGTAATATCTCTAATAGGTTTAAATAGGAGCAATGCTAACCGTACGTGTATGTCATTAGGATTTAACTTCGAATTTTGACTATTTCGTAGAGCGGTTAGTAAGTATTTGTGATTATATTTTTTGATTTGTTCCAATTTTGACCTGTTCAATGTTTCCAATTAACTTAATGTGAATTATCGATTTATCAGATTGTGAAATTTCATTAAAACTAATAATAAATTATGTTCACCCGGCACATCGGGCGTGATAGATGTGTTTTATTTATACTACTATACATATTTCTGTTACGAAAGTAAGAAGTATAAAAATTCTAAGCAATATTTGAACATGCTTATTACTAAGCTACCTGTCGGTATTACTATACTCACAATATGCTAAGCCACAGTTTACCTACCCTTAATCACGTTAGTTCTTATTTTTCTTGAAGTTTCGGAAAATCCTTAGAACTTTTTTCCAACCTAATGTAAAACATTAGGTTGGAAAAAAGAACAACTTAGAAACAAACCTTAGACTATGTTAGTCAAAAGGAGGTTATAATTAGGTCAACGAATTACTACTAAGTAGGTACTACATTGATTGTAGTAATCTTTCCACTTATGTGCATTACTGCTTGATACTATCTGACTAATATTATAAACGCGAAAATTACACAGTATGGATGAGTGTTTGTTACTCTTTCGCGCAAAAACTACTGAACGGATTTTGATAAAACATTTACAGTAATGTAGCTTATACATCAGGATAACAGTATAAATTTCATGCGATTGAAACCGCGGCACAAGTAGTTTCCTCATATTTTAAAATTGTCATTATGATAGTAACTAATCCTGCTGTAATTATGGAGATGATTGTCAAGAGGCATTAATTTTCTCCATATTGAATCCAACGTCGTGGGTTATTTTGTTATAAGTGTTCCATTAAAGTCAGTCGGAATTTTTTCTGTGTCGGCGAGTTGGAATTCGCTTTTTTGGTGTAACTAGAGATAGTAATCTTAGGCTATGATGCGCAAAGGTTAAATAGAAGGATGCTCAAATAAGTACCTTACGGTATTGACGCTTATTAGTAATAACTTTATGTAACGATAAGGGCCTTTATTACATAATATACATATAAAACACGCCACCAATCATACTCGTACATTTTTATACCTACTATACATTACATAGTGCGCGAATCCAACCTAGACAATTGGAGTTAAGGCGGAGTCCTAACCCGCTAAATAACCGTAGCAGGTAAATACAACATTAATTTTTAAAGATGATTTTATTTACATCACCTAACATACTGCTGAATTAAACTTCTAGTCACACCTAGACAATAAACAAGTTTATATATTTTGTTAACAAATTTAGTATATACATAACTTAAGGGGGTCTTCCTATGTGACGGCCTGTTTTTTAGGGATATTTTAGGATTTTTTTCTACGACCAGTAAATATTTAGAGCTTCAAGTTTTTTATCATTTATTAACACATATTTGGACAGTATAAATATAAAATTTCAGCTAAAAATATTCAGTCAAACTAGAGTTACAGCGCTCTGAACACCCCCGCCTCGAAAAAAAGAGCTCCCACTTCCTCCACGATTCCGGCTGATCGGCTTACCTTAAAAAAAAAAAAAAACGGCGTTTTAATTTGTAGGCTTAAAAGCACGGAATGACCTATAATCAAATGAATATAAAAAAAATTGGATTTTTGATAGACATTTGAAATAAAAGTTGCAAATTAGGCGTTTTTTTTTTGTTTTTTGCTATAAAAAAATCGAAGTTTTGAAAATTTTCGATTGATAATAGTTCATTCCATGCGTTTACATATATTGAGTGTGCCCTGTAAATTTCAAGTAATTCGGTCCAGCCGTTTCTGAGATACAATGGAGGAAAGTTTGAAAAACACAGTTTTGAGAAAAACGCGTTTAAAGTTTCAAGTCCGTTAAAAACTATTAAAATATCAACTTACTCTCAATCGGCGATGCCTGGTCCATAGAGTATTCCTTCCTCTTCCTCGTGAAACTCTTTTAAAGCAGATTGTTCAGCTCTTGAGTCAATCCTGGCTTGTTTAACGACATCACTTACGCGCCGCTCAGAGCGTAAGATTCGCTTTTCATCCCGTTTCTCAACATACGCTTGGGCTTCACGACCAACAGGGCATCCCATAATCGACATAACTTTTAAAATACCTTGAAAACCTTCATTAAAGATAATAACTGCTAAGTAGCTAGCAATTTCAACAACTTTGGGACCAGAATGAAGATGTTTAGGAGCGAAAGTCCAAATCAAAGAATTCAAAGATTCGTTATTGTTTTGTGTCTCTGCTCCTAAACAACGAATTAATAATTCGTCTTTCGATAAATCTTCGAAAACCGGTTTGATAGCTTCTTGGACTTGCGGAATTAGAGGTGGTTTATCGTGATGAAATTGGTCCAGTTCATTATTAGCTTCAGCCTTACGCCATTTACACCAACTGTCTTCGCCTTCTGGACAAAATTGATGCTGAGGGTTTTCATCAGAAGAACATTTGTGATAGTACGTTGCCCAAACTTCCTTTCTCATATCTTCAAGCGAATCTGGATGGCGTCGAATTGCTAATCCGTAGAATTTTGTAATTTCTTGGATAACTTCGGTAAAATATTATAACAATAGAAATTTCTGTTTAAGTCTGTAGAAACGTGTCTAAACTTGTATAAACAAATATATTAATAAAAGGGAGGCCAGGTATAAAGCCGACGGTACACAATAGGCCCGGTCTCTAACTGCCAACTCACCGCTCCGAACCGCTCTTTCTTTTACCTGCTGTATCTTTAAAACGACTTCGAATTTTCTAAAATCGCTTTACTACCGTATTCTAGACATGTTAAGGGAGCAATTTATGAAAAAAAAAAAAAAAAAAAATCGATTTTTTCAACCCATCACATAGGAAGACCCCCTTAATTAATAACTTTTTGCGTCGTTCGTGGGAAACACGTAATGTGAACGGCGGAGTCGAGGCATCAACGTGACAGTCATGGTATCTAGTCTATTAATTACTACTCAAATGCATAGGTCCCTATTAGTCCCTAAGGACATGTGTTGTTTTCTCTTCTGTATAACTTTGTTTTAGACAAATATTTAGACTACATTGCATGGCATGAAGTAATCTATAATTCTATTCGTTAGTTGGTTTGTATGAATTGCTACTGCTTACATGATTATCACACAGATGAAATGTTAATATCAAAGTGTTATAGTTACATATTCATAATTTTATAATTAGAGAGTTACAAAATTGCGATTTGAATTCCCCATCGTCTGCGAAGGCCTTAGGTAACATGTTCAGGTTCATTAACACATCATTATATTATTTACTTTGATTTGAGTTACACTGGAGAGTGTACATTTTATATCCCAATAAGCGATGGAACGGTAGTTACCTTTAGACATTTACGTGACATCCGATAGTGACATAGTATATGTTTTTACAGCAAAAAGAACGTCAGTAAAGAAACCATTTTATTATCAACTATGTAATTGGATTGAAAATAAATTGAAATGGGAGATTGTCATGAGAAATTTTATGTACATTGATGTTTTGATATTAATCCGCCGAAAGCCACCTCGCCACTATTCTCCGTGCTGTATTCTTTGTTTGCGTCATTTCGATTGTGTCGGTAGTTAACCAACCTTGCATATCGAAGCAATGTGATGCTCTGTAATAAATAAATTGTGGTTACATATTACAACAAATTTTACTTAAATGTCGTTTGGCTAAAGTTAGTAATTCGTTTTATGGCAATTGCGTAAGGTTTTACAATAAAATACCAGAGTCTGTTATAAATCTGCCAGAAAAAAGATTTAAATGTCAAATAAAACAGTGATAATAATGTTTTTATAGAAAAACTTTAAATATTATCTGATTACACTAATAATGAGTGCGTAGCGATTTCTATGTTGATTATCGTATGCCTCTTGTTTTACTATAATTATTTATATATAAAAAAACATCTATTAAAAAGAGCAACACACACAAGTTTCTTGCTCATTCTTCTTATGATGAATCTGCATTCCGAATGAGTGGTAGAATCAAAATATGACTATTCAAAAGTGCTTGGATTTAGTTTATTTGAATAAAGATTATTTCTATTTCTATTTCAACCAGTGAATTAAAAAACAAATAAAGTAATATCTGTGTTAAAGCGAGGTAGATAGCTAATTTTCAGTTATTAGTTCCTAATTATAAAATTTTATTTTAATAAAATTACATATGCGAAGAAATTATGAAAAAACTATACAAATTTTGCTACGATTTTATTGAAATAAAAATAGAAAATCATTTATTCAAATAAACTTACATTGAAGCACTTTTGAATAGTCATCACATTTTTATATTAAAAGGTTTAGCCATTCGCAAGTCAGGGTATTGTTTAATCATAATTTTATAAATGAAAGTGTGTGTCTGTCTTTGGCACGAGAACTTTATATATTAGAAGATTAACTTAATTAGGTATTGTGTTGTAATTAATCTTGTCATTACCTTGATATTGTGTATGTAGGTGAAGTATGTTTTAAATCTCTGTCGTAAACCCCGAGCACATGCCAAGGATCTATAGTTCCATGTATATTGATAGTATTATTAACATTAGGTTTTAATCCTCCAAACATTAGATTGACACGATCGATAGCATCAGCAACAAACCTCTCGTCGTATCTTTAATAAAAAATATTTATTTATATTTTTTACATTAGTATACTTGATATTTGAAATAGTAGTAAGTTCTAGGTACATCACTAACATAATCTCCCCAAATATTAGATAATAATAAGGGGCCTTTTATATTTCATTTGTTAGTTGATACTTGACATCCATATTTTTGCAGATAATTAGAAGTTTTCGTTGTATGTTACGACATCATAAGAAAATGTATGTCAAATTCTTATGATGTCTTAACAACTAATGAAATATCAATTCTCAAAACATAACCTGTTATGCCAAAGGTCTGAAATATGTACACGTACAAAAGTCCCACAGAATATTAAGCTACACTGTCATACAAGGAAATGTCTGTAATTAAAAAATGCACTATATACGTACAAATCCTTTTTATTCTCAGGACGCCGCAAAAGCTAGAGTAAGAAGGCAATGTGCATAAGAAGGAAAATAAAACCATACAATGTACCCAAGTAGCGTGGTAGTAGCAAGTCAATATCCTCTTATAGGAAGAGTCGTATTGCGTAGTTATGTTTTGGCACAGTAAACAAGCATGTTTCTATCGAAAC